AAGATGGACGTTGCCATGGTTACGCTGATCGAACGTAATCCGACCGACGTCAATGGCATGTATTTCTGTAATTCTCGCAGCCGTAGCCAGCGAGAGAAGGAAAACCGTTTTCTGAGACAATAAGTCGAACGCGACCTGATCGAGAGGCTCGTAAGCCTGACTAGACAGGTTGCGCAGAACGACATCAAGGTCCCAGGCCGGCGGTCGGAATTTACGTGACTGATCTTCAACCATGAAGGCACGTAGAATCTTCTGCAACTCCGGTACGTTAGTGAGCTTGTCGCCCGTAGGAGACGGCACTACTGAAGCCAAAGCTGCCAGATATGTAGAGATCGTCGACCCTTTCAGACGCCGAGATGACCGGAGAGAGACTAGGAACTCCGCCACCTGTGGTGGGGTCGCTACTGCCGGGTTGAAGCCATGAGACCTGGCGAAAATGGAGAAAGTGGTCCACTTGTCATCTTACAGCTTACGAGTCGTGTCTCGATGTGCCGACGAGACAAGCGCTGCCACTTTACCCGAATAGCCTTTCTTCATTAACGAGGTCTTAAGCAAACCCAGGCGTGAAGCTGGAAGTTCTTTATCCCCGGATGCAAGTCGTCGGTGTGAGGATGAAGATGGAGGTCGTCTCGATCTGGCAACGGGAACGGTGGTTGATCGATGATCTGAAGAAGTTCCGGGAACCATGTTCTGGCCGGCCAATAAGGCGCGACTAAAAGAAGACGTAGGTTGGCCGTTTGACGAACTTTCACCAGTTGCGATGGTAACAGCACCGTTGGTGGAAACGCGTAAGCGTCTAGACCCCCCCACGATATCGCTAGAGCGTCGTGGTCCCATGCCCGTGGGTCTGGAACCGGCGACACGAATCGAGGGAGGCGGTTGTTGTACGGGGCAGCAAAGAGATCTACTTGGGGCAACCAGAGTCGATCTGTCAGCAGATGAAAGACTGTCGGATGGATCATCCACTCCGTGGGAGACGGCCTCGATGGTCTCGACAGGGCGTCGGCAATCACATTCTTGGCCCCCGGGATGTGACGGGCGCGTACGCCCATGTCCAAGTCGTCGACGAGGGCGAAGAACCTGAATGTCCGGTCCAGAAAGGCCGCCGACTGAGTTGTTCCCTGTTTGTTGACGCAGTGGACGACTGTGGAGTTGTCCGACTGTATCATCAGCCGTTTCCGACGGAGTCGAAGTTTCCAAAACTCGACCGCCCGAATCACTGCTTCCATCTCGAGGCAGTTGATGTGGAGGACCTTTTCTACTGGCGACCACAGCCCGGCCGCTTGGTCGTCCCCGAAGTGCGCTCCCCAGCCTTCCAATGACGCGTCTACGAATAGGTGTAGTATGAACGGAGGCTCGCTCATAAAGACGCCCTCGCAAACGTTCGACGGCTGGAGCCACCACTCCAGATGACAACGTAGCTGCGCCGGAAGTGGAACCAGGAGTTCGGGAAACTCCAGGTGGGGGTACAGCAATCTCTGCAGCGGACGAAGTTGAAGACGACCTTGACGAGTCAAGTCTTGGGCCGATGTCAACAGACCGAGGACTTCCTGCCACGTGTGCACCGACGCCGAGGCATGTAGAAGTCTCGGAACGCTGCTGACAATCTTGTCCCAACGGTCTTGAGGTACCTGGACCAGATTGACTCCCGTCTGGAAGCGTATCCTAATGTACTGTAGAACCCGAGTTGGTACCAAGTCCGACTTTTGAAAGTTGACGATCCACCCGAGGTACCGTAGTAGACTCAGGGTGGTTGCCAACTCACCTTGAAGGGCTTCTGTAAACTGGTGAGCTTGGAGCCCGTCGTCTAGGTAGAAGGCGACCCTGATCGCCTGCCGATGGAGCCATTCTACGACCGTCTTCATGATCCGTGTGAAAAAGCACGGGGCCGTAGAAATTCCAATCGGGAGGGCCGCCCACTGGTAAGGAATACCTTAGTATTCGAATCGGAGGTACTTCTGGAACTCGGAAGCTATTGGTACATGTAGATACGCGTCCTGAAGGTCTAACGAGACGAGGAAGTCGTTCGGTAATATCATCCGACGCAGAGAGCTGAGGGATATCAAGGTGAATGTGTCGGGTGGTTGGAGGTATGTTGCGCTCAACTTTTTGAGATTGAAAATAAGCCGCATCTTTGTGGAGTTTTTCTTGGGTACTAGAAAGATGGGCGAGTAGTACCTCGGCGATGGTGCCGATGTCCCCAGGCGAAGTACGGCTGTCTTTTCCACCAACAAATCGATGGCCGGCGTCAGCCGATCCGTTGGTGGAATGTGGAATGTTGGGGATGACGTCAGTGGTGGTGTCGATCTCAGGCGTGGGGCGTAGCCTGTTGTCAAAATGTTCTGAACGTAAGGGTCGTTGAGGAAAACCCACTTGTGGGCATAGTGACGAAGTCGCCCCCCTACCGGTAGCTCGTCTAAAGGTAGTGTCACCGGGGGAGACTCCAACCACGGCGACGGCGGGGGAAGGGACCTCACTTCCTCCCCCGCTGGCACTGTCCCCCTCTGGGAAACTTGGAAAAGGAGACCTGGCGACCTTTCCTGTCGGAATCTCTCTTGCGGGACGGCTGTCGAGGCACGTCCCTACGGAAGGCCCGTTGCACATTCTCGTTTCGGTAACGTCGTCGTGGGGCGTTAGAAACCGGTGGCCGTCTGGACAGGTTGTGTGAAGCCGAAATGATGATGTCACGCTCGGCTTCCCTGGAGTACTTGTCCAGAACGTCGTTGGTACGACCATCGAACAACTGTTGCGATGTCCACGGGGCCCGTAAGAGTGACCTGCCATGACGATCAGGTAGGTCAGTGCAGTCGATGTAACCATGCCCGATACATATCGGGACTGGGCGAGGACGTCCGAGATCCACCGTTGCATACAGGTGAGGACCGATGGCACCGTCCTGTCGTCCTCATCCTATGGTTCTTTCTCCTCAAAGTACACTGAGAGGGCCTTGATCGCTGTCGACAGCATAGCAAGCGTTTGCAGCTGGTGACGAACAGCAGTGTCCATGGATTCCAAATTTGGAGGGCGCTGGTCTCTTGAAGAGTAGCCCCCAGTCCAAATCCCTATTCATGGGTGACGAAAACGGCATGCCATAGATCGGGTAACGAGATCGACCAGGCGGCTTGCAGAAGCTCTGCCCAGGCAGAGCAGAGCCAAAGTTCTGGTCCATATCGTGAGCCATGGCTCTGAAGACATCGGGAGGAGAAAACTGAAGAGACTGCGGTGTATCTCCGACCTTAAAGCCCGCCTCGTCGGGTTGTCATCGTTCTTTGGGAGGCCTAGGAGGGCTGTCGTCACAATCCATCGTCGACGTCGAGTGTGGAGGCGTAGATTAAGGAGCTGCTGTACTAGTTGACGGGCCATGGACCCCCGACGTAGTCGTATCCTTCTTGGTCGACGCCGTCGAGGCGAGGACCGCCGTCGAGGCAAGGACCGCCGTCGAGGCGAGGACCGCCGCCGGGCTATCAAAGCCGGGTCGATATGAAAGTGAGACGAGGTCGTCGTTCTCACTATCTTCACTACGACGCTGAACTCCCCGAAACTCCCTTCGAGAACGTCGCACGTCCCCGTGGGGACGAGGGCTACGATCTCTAACTGTAGAAGTACTATGATCCCCATCGTAGTTATCGTCCGAATCGTACATTCGACGACCACGATGACGATGAACGCCCTCGTGTCGTGTACTGTCTCTCGACGAGGCACTCGTCCTGTTGTCCCGACTTGAACGGGAACGACTTCTGTGTCCACTGTCGTCCCGCACAACGTCCCTATCGTCGTTGGTAGAACGAGATACGGACCGCCTTGGGACCGTAGTCCGCTCATGGTCCTCGTCACCACCCGGTTCCGTCGTAACGGGGGAGGCTGAGTGACGCTCTCGATCAACCGAATGACGAAGACCAGTCGTGCGGGTAGTATCATCAGCAGGCAAACGGTCACGTGTCTTGTCGAAAACTGAAGTTGACTGAGGCGGGTCTTTATCAACTGATTTCTGAGGTGTGGTCGACTCGCCACCCCCAGGGCCTGATACGGAGGGTGCAGAGTCCAAGGATCCAACCGATGACCTTCTCTGCTTGTAGCGCTGGTCAGCGGCCCGCTTCGCCAACGCACGAAGATACAAGTTAAAGTTTATTGAAGACAAGTTCTCACATTCTTTACAACGTTTATTCCACAAACACGTTGAAAACCCGTCCTTAATGATGCAGGAAGGACAATACTTGTGAGGGTCTACTTTAGACAGTTTTCGTTGACACGAGGCACAAATGCCCGACATATTGCCACGTGTAGAATCACTGTCAAACAGCGAAACATGCGTTGAACACAAACAATGGATTACCAAGGATTACATTCCAGGAGTCTACAGGTAAGACATATTATTACTTTATAAGAACAACTGTAGATAAGCGATAAGTACTAGTAGAATACAAACTAGCAGTCTACCGCGAAAGACTTTCTCGAGCGACCAGCGCAGAGGCGCGCTGAGAGATTTGTGACATGTCATAGGGAGGTGCGTGCGCAACCGGACGGAAACAAGTTTAATGTTTACATTCCAGCTTCTGGCTTCCTCTTAAACGTGCGACTAGACGTGAGGGTATGAGAGATACCCATTTGTACGACTGAAAACAGACTAAAACATATAATTTACAAGCTATAAACCGCGAAGAAAAAGATATATCAAGCATGGAAAGGATATATGGAGGTAACACCACCTGAAGACGAAACTTGAAGATGATTAACAAGCTAAGTTGAACTCCTGTACCTGCACAAGTCTATACGTAGGGCAGACAGAGAAGAATATGAGGGAGTAGGCGCCAGGGGGGATAACTCGTGGATGCTGAGGCACGGGCTGTAGTCTGTTTGAACTGTCTCTTTGTTCTAGTACTGTCTGTTTGTATAAGGTATAAGGTAAGGAAGCACTGTGTGGCATCAGGTAAGGTAAAACATGAAATATGATTGATAACATTTCATCATTTCATGCTTAATACAATGTCAGATTCACTGACTTTAAGCTGTTCTTTCTGAGTGAATCCCTTGGTTGATTTCCCTGTAGATGACTGTCCTATGAAGCTTATGGCCATTATCATGGGTCTGTGAAGGTTCAACATGTCTGTGATTTCCTGGACACTGTCACGGTACTGGGAGAAGATCATCACACGAGTGGCTGGGGAATACAGAAAACCTTCACATCAAAAGGTCTACAAAACATGATACTAACAAAATTGAAATCAAAACTACTGATATCATTTCTTGCTTTAAAAACTGGACTGAACTTCCATTTGTTGTAATACAGGGCCGATGACAATGTTTCAGTCTGCTGCCATTCATTCAGTGCAAGTGACAAATACAAGAAGACTTGTATGTTCTCACATACTGTGCGATATGATACATATCATGATACCGTGCTCGCGATTTGATGTGTATCACGATACTTGTAGTTACTTGTTAAGCTTCAAGCTTCAGTAAATATTAGAGCCAATGAAATAAAACTAAGCACATATTTTGGTCAAACATATTATTTGTTATCTCTGTGACTTTAAGGAATGGAGTTTATAATTAGACACTGCCTAGACACTCAGCAAATCAAATTGTTCGGCATAGATGAAGGACTATAACTACTGTCATAAGATTCCATATGCAGTTGAGTGTATGCCAGTGTCAATTGTGGCACAATGGAAGAAAATATATACGTTTTACTTCTAATAAGTGTTTCTTTTATGTAACAGTTATAAAAAGCAAACATTTAAGGTACAAATACATATTTTTTACTTAGTGGGTAACTTTGATCAATGCTTGTAATGGGAAGTAAAATCTTGTGTTCCACGGTATTGTACCACCACTAGTTCTCAAACATTTGAATAATAATTCCAAATTCTCACAGTACTTGTTGAATGGTAATGTATCTGCACTACATCAGGGTTCTCTGCAGTGTACAAACCTACCCTGATACTAGTCAATCTGTATCTCTCGTACAAAGAGATTCTGCCCTGATACAACAGCGAATCATCATTCCTCATACAAAGACATACTAGAAAGTGTTTTTACTCGTAAAAACATATGTCTCCCCCCACTCCCCTAACCCCCATTCATTCGTTTACTTCACGTTAAACCCCATCTCTTCATTCCCACCCTCCATTACTAAATAACAGAGACAAAAATAGAACTCCTAGAAATTTCAAACAACTAATGGGCACCACTTCAGTGCTGGGTTAATGTGTATACAAAGTTTCGCGAAAAAATATTAAACGGTTTCTGAGTTATGGTCCGGAAACCAAGCTTACCCCCATTCAGAGTCTATGTTCAAGTTATCTCCATGGAAACGAGAAAAAATAAAAATGTCAAAAATCTCTAAATAGCAAAAGGCACCACTTCAGTGCTGGGTTAATGTGTATACAAAGTTTTGCGAAAAAATATTAAACGGTTTCTGAGTTATGGTCAGGAAAACAAAGCTTACCCCCATTCAGAGCCTATGTTCAACTTATCTCCATGGAAACGAGAAAAAATAAAAATGTCAAAAATCTCTAAATAGCAAAAGGCACCACTTCAGTGCTGGGTTAATGTGTATACAAAGTTTCGCGAAAAAAATATTAAACGGTTTCTGAGTTATGGTCCGGAAACCAAGCTTACCCCCATTCAGAGCCTATGTTCAACTTATCTCCATGGAAACGAGAAAAAATAAAAATGTCAAAAATCTCTAAATAGCAAAAGGCACCACTTTAGTGCTGGGTTAATGTGTATACAAAGTTTCGCGAAAAAATATTAAACGGTTTCTGAGTTATGGTCCGGTGGGAACGCCGACGCCGACGCCGACGGGAACCGTGCCAAAAACAATATGTCTCTCTCCATTCTGGGGGAGACATAATTACCCTGGTGTGATGTATTGAAGTGTTCCAGGGCGACCTGCTCCAGCTTCTTCATCTTGGGGTGACCTGACACATAGCTGGCCTTCTTCTGGGTACTGCTCCATGAACTGCACATCAAGTAACTACATGTAAGTAAGCAATACACTTAACTCTAGCAGAGTGAGTGTGCCATTTGGGATGCCGACTAAACTTACTTACTAGGGATGTCAAGATTGATATAACTATCAATGTATTGCAATTGCCAAAGGCGAAATGGCAAAACTTCAATGTGAACTTAAAATATCAATGGTTGACATCAATGCCACACTACAATATTGACAGTATTTATGGGCATCTTGAAAATAAAAACTAATGGTCATCATTACGTTGTAAATGCATTTCAAACAAATGTACAACTTGTTTGAAGACACATCTCAGTATTCATCTGAATGTGTTCATAAAAGACCTGTCATAAAAAAAGAGTGGCACCGAAATCACCTCTGAATGTGTTAATAATTAAATTAAATTAATAAAAGTTATTGTCAGAATTGATATACAAGAATTTCTGCATAAACAATGAGGACTAACTATGAAACAAGTAGCTATATTTCCACAATTGTTCTTAATCTGCAGCAAAAAATAAAAATGTATTATTAATTTTACAGCAATATTGAAATTAAGCTGCAAACATTTTGAACAAATTCAGGTGTCAACAAGCTTGTGACCAACAAGCGTGTGAGGAACAAGCATGGGAAGTTTAAGCATCAGTGGTCCAGTTTCTAAGGATAGCTAAGAGCACATCAAAGAGAACTTAGGAGCATGGTCAAAAAGGGAAGGTCAATATGAAGGTCAAAATTGTAAATTTACATTAAATTATATATTTATATATACTTATCCTATCTCATACTATGCACTTCTTCCTTCATCTTTTGATCTTTTGAAACATGCTTTAAAAAAGTTTCTTCAAAGCTGTCAACCACACCAGAGGGATTGAAGCATGCAATGACGAGAAGAGGAATGACTGACAACATCCACAAGAGGATCATTGAAACCAGTACCAAAACATCACATGCCTGAAGCAGAGGTTAGTGGCCTTACAGCGACTTCGATTTTGAAGACTAGAGCTTCTACAGGCAAGGCACCTGCCCCTCCACTAGGTACTCAGTCTGGGAATCCAATTTAGTAGACAAGAGTGAGTGAGTGAGTGAGTTTGGTTTTACGCCGCTTTTAGCAATATTCCAGCAATATCACGGTGGGGGACACCAGAAATGGGCTTCACACATTGTACCCATGTCGGGATTAGAAACCGGGTCTTCGGCTTGACTGGCGAGCGCTTTAACCACTAGGCTACCCGACCGCCCCTAGTAGACAAGAAACACAGGAACGACAATTCCAATATTAAGTCTGTATATACATTATACTGAATACCAGATAGTGAGTAAGTGAGTTGGGTTTAACGCCGCTTTTAACAGTATTCCAGTTATATCGCGGCATGTCAGCTTAATGTGGGAGGAAAGCCCCAAGTGATGCAGGTCCAAGACGTTTACCACTTCGGTGAAACCCACGAGAACGGGTATGGTGCTGACAAACCTAGAAACATAATCGAGGTTAACCGGGATTCGAACCCACAATCATAGGTTTCAGACGACTGGGCCACCCGTGCCCCCGAATACCAGATAGCAGATGCGAGTACTAGTATCGTCTTTCTGCACTGGTATGAAGTCGTTGCGCCAAGTCTAAGGGACCAAACTGGTGGAGGCCCTGAACGTCGGTGACAGAGTTGTCACGGAAATAGTGGGAAGCAAAGACAGTATATGACTTCCAAAAACAGCCCTCCATGATGGCAGACAGAGTGCAATTGTTGTGTAAGGCCATGGCAGAGGCTTTAGACTCATGAGGATTGGACGTCAAAGGAGGTGGCAATCCAGCGAAGGCATAGGCTCGTCAGATAGACAAACGAAGCCTAAAGGAAACTGTAGTAAGAGCCGCAGATCCGAAGAGCCTGCGCAGCCTCAAGGTAGATATGGAACGCTCTAACCAGGCATAATAAAGATGTCTTCATGGTCATCTGGGCTCAGGATGGACGCCAACGACGGGATGGTAAACAAGCGGTCTGGTTGTTCCAGGGCAAACTGGACCCTGTTAACATCAAGAGCAGGGATCTCACTCACTCTTGCAGCAGTGTCAAGGGCCAGGAGAAAGACCATCATAAGGTGTCAGCAACTCATTTTCAGCAAGCATTTCATACTCTGCAAAAGACAGACGACGGAGGAGGATGTTAAGATCCCAAGTGGGTGTCTGGAACCTACAGCATGTTTGGAAATCAATGTACTGATGGTTTCTTGTACAGCCTACAATCTGGCTGGCCGGATCCTTAATCTGATTGGCATGGCTGGGGGTTGGTCTACTAGTGATAGCTTGATAACGGTGTTAGAATCCACACCAAAACATCGCTCCTAATTGTAATAAAGAAATTGTTCACCCATATATCTTATCCTTTCCTAGTACTCTAACTTCTAAATGCCTCTCAAAGAAGTTAGGTACCGGGTGGACTAAGGGAGTGGATACAGTCATGCCTTAAAGTGGTCATCCCACTGACATTGGTGGAGGACACCCTGACAACAGAGAGCTGTGATGTTGCCGGCATGGTGCGAACACTTCTCCTGAAAGAGTGTAACAGAACCTCTAATAGTAGCCTTTGGATGAGGCTGGGGAAGGCTGATGATCCAAGATGGCATCGGGTGGTGCAGTGGAACCATCGGGTTGTAGCATAAGGGGTAGGCACGCATATGATGATGCTTGTATTCACTGTGCCAAAAGTGAACCCTTGGACGAAAGACGAAAGTCTTGTCGCTGAGAGTTCAAGTGGTAGGAGTGGGACAATCCCAACAATGCCGACAATCCGAGTAACATGTAGAAGGAGAGTCATACCATCAGCAGAATCAGCATAGGAATCATCCTCTGCATGACAGCGATCGTCGAACAGGAGAGCTCAGTGTGGTCGGTGATGAAACTGTAGCTCCATTGCCTATCGGTCAGTAGAGCGTCGATACCGAGAAGGTCAATCCCCCAGACTTTAATCACAAGTTCAAACCCAAGAGCGGCAATCCCTAGGCCCCGAACTTCAATCCTCCGATGAGTGATCCATGGAAAGGCGGTTCTGCAATGAAGCACGGCAATCCTTGTCAGAGATTAATGCCAGCTCTGTCGTTTCTTAGTAGAAGTAGCAGACGAACTTGCACGATCTATCCGGGGTGTTGGCAAAACCTGCACCGTTGACATGGAAGCATCTGTGTCCTGATCGAAGCCATGAGCACAGCGAGGACTGGAACAACACCTGGAAGAGCAGGGGACGATTGTTGACTTGCAGCTGAAGGTCGGGGAGCGCTACGAAGGTCGACGGTCAAGGCTGTCAGAGCTGGCTGGAATGCCCTCTTTAGAGAAAACCATGCGGGTGTCAGAGGCTGTTGGCTGCTCCGACGTAGGCTTGGATGTGGGCACACTGGGACAGGTGGCTAGTCTGATATGGCGGGAAGAAACTGTAGGTGATGTCATCTGTATCGAATTACAAGACAGGGATGGTAGAAGCTGGAGGAGGCTTCACAACGGAACTGGTGGAGGGGACAGCTGGCCTGGCGTCCTGTTTAGGCTTCTTATTAGGGGAAGACCTATGTTCCTTGTCCCGGTGTAAGGTGCCAAAATCTACCCCCCTTCAGAGTATACCCGGGTAGATTCTGGGAGCTCCCAGAATCTACCCCGGGGTAGATTTTGGGGACTTCCCAGAATCTACCCCCCTTTCCCAGAATCTACCCCCAGGGGGTATAATCTGAGAGTTCCCAGAATCTACCCCAGGGTATAATCTGGGAGCTCCTCCCAGAATCTACCCCCGGGTTATAGCTATAATCTAGGAGCTCCAAGAATCTACTGCAGCCCTGTTTGATTTAAACATTTTTATTTCATGAATGTACTTGAAGTTTTCTTTTGGGGGATGCATCTAACTCAGTCTTGATCTCTCCTGGTCAATTGCTGTAACAACATTGTCATCTGATTGAGTTTACATAAATGCCTATTCAGTACACATCTAAATAGTTTTAAAACATTCATATCCCAGAATCTACCCCCCTTTCCCAGAATCTAACCCCAGGGGATATAATCTGGGAGTTCCCAAAATCTATCCTGGTGTAGATAATACCGGTAATAAATAATAATAATACCGAATCCAAAAATTCAAAATGCTGTTTTATACATGCAAAGAAGAAATAAATATTGTTTAAACTAATAAAAAAATATCTTACAAATCACATTGACTTTAACTCATTGTAGTCATCATCAATTTGTAAGTTCGAGAGATGGTGTTGAGAATTGTGTGAGGAAATGTCTTACACTTATGTTATTCAATAAGCTTTAACATGCTTTGTGAATAGACCTACCTACTTTTGATTGCATATAAAATCATTTTGAAACCAATTATTAGTATGCACTTGTGTCTGTAAGTACCTTTGTTTGGGGAGGCATGTATCACAGTATAAAGAATATATTCTGACTATAGAAGACATCACATCATTAAAACCATCTAATTATTTATCCATTTACATTCTAATTCTTCTAAATATAGTCAGATGGGTGTAATAAATTTCACAAAGCAATTGTCATTGTTTTAGTCAGAGTTTTTATATTATTATCAATAACAAAAAGAGAAAACTAACATAAAATATGAGAGCAGTTTATTCTGAAAACCAATATCCATTGAATTATTTCAATGTCACTGGACTTTATTACAACGTCAAAGTGTTCATGGAGGTTGGTCAGATACACTGCACCAATGGACAGTTTCTCAAGTGTGAATGATGCTGGGTAGCATAGCCATTTCAGCTCCTTTCCATGCGTATAGACAACAATGTCAGTTTCCAGAAGAGAAGCAGTGGCCATAATCTCTGCATCAGTTGCCCAGACACCATTTTCGGCCATTCTTGACGAATTTAAGTATTTCGTCACATTCTGCTGAAGGTAGTGTTCCAGCTTTTCCCCTTTCTCACTCATGTGTTGTACAACAGCATCTCTCAGGCGTAAGTGGGACGTCTCCTGACCAGTTAGGAAATAACTAATGGCACGGAAGAAGCAGTTGCCA